CGCACACACACACGCATACACACGCACGCATACACGCGCACGCACACACACACACACAGATATACACACATGCACGCACGCGCCCTGTCAGCCCGTGGCGTGGAAGCGGAGGGGGCGGGGCCTGCTTCAGTCTGAGCGGCGTCAGGAGCAGAGACGTCGGGCCTTTGATGTCCACATCTGGAGCGCACGTGTGCAGCTGGAAAGTGACTAATTACAAAAACCAAAAACTCACTTTTACTGCAGCAGCTTCAGAGTCTGAGAGAAGACTCTTTACCAGAGGTTTCACACACACACACACACACTGAATACACACATACAATGAACACACACACACACACTGAATACACACATACAATGAACACACACACACACACTGAATACACACATACAATGAACACACACACACACACACACTGAATACACACATGCAATGAACACACACACACACACTGAATACACACATACAATGAATACACACACACACTCACACACACACACTGAATACACACATACAATGAATACGCACGCACACTGAATACACACATACCATGAATACATATATACTCACACACATACACACTCAAGCTGCACTGAATACACACATAAACTGAATACATACACACACACACACTGAATACACGCTTATACAGATTGCATACATACACACATGCTGTACACACACAAAAGCACTCACACACACACATACATGCTGTATACAGACACAATGTATACACACACTGTTTACAAACACAATATACACAAACACACACAAACATGTCAAGCACTCTGTTGTGTGCTGTCTGGTGGCAAATGGCAAAGACATTTTTGAATCTTGAAACACACACACACACACTGTTCACACACACATACATACACACACTGTTCACACACACACACACACCTACTGTTCACACACACATACACACACACTGTTCACACACACATACATACACACACACATACTGTTCCCACACACACAAACACACACACACACATACTGTTCACACGCACATACATACACACACTGTTCACACACACACACACACCTACTGTTCACACACACATACACACACACTGTTCACACACACATACATACACACACACACACTGTTCCCACACACACAAACACACACACACACATACTGTTCACACACACATACGCACACACTGTTCACACACACACAAACACACACACTGTTCACACACACATACACACTGTTCACACACATACACACTGTTCACAAACACATACACACTGTTCACAAACACACACACAAACACACATACTATTCACACACACTGTTCACACACACTGCTCACAAATACACACACACACACACTGTTCACACACACATACACACTGTTCACAAACACACACACACACACACACATACTGTTCACACACACTGTTCACACACACATACACACTGTTCACAAACACACACACACACACACACTGTTCACACACACTCACACACACACACACACACTGTTCACAAACACACACACACACACACACTGGGATCATCTGAGTCCAGACCACAAACAAAAGCAGATGAGACTCAAACACACATTGTTCTTTCGAGGCCGAAGACAAAACAATGTTTGGCCTGAATTTCAATCAGAAACTTCCACATGTGTTTCATGTGACATCACACGCTCCAAAGAGCGATAGTTTCTCATGGAACATCTCCCCTGGTCACTATGGTCACTATGGTCACTACGGTCACTACCGTCACTACGGTCACTACGATCACTACGGTCACTACGGTCACTACAGTCACTACGCTCACTATGGTCACTATGGTCACTACGGTCACTACAGTCACTTCGGTCACTATGGTCACTACGGTCACTACGGTCACTACGGTCACTATGGTCACTACGGTCACTACAGTCACTACGCTCACTATGGTCACTACGGTCACTATGGTCACTACAGTCACTACGGTCACTATGGTCACTACAGTCACTATGGTCACTACGGTCACTACAGTCACTACGCTCACTATGCTCACTATGGTCACTATGCTCACTATGGTCACTATGGGCACAATGGTCACTATGGTCACTGCATGCAGGGCGGCACGGTGGAAGAGTGGATAGCACTCTCGCCTCTCAGCAAGAAGGTCCTGGGTTCGAATCCCGGTCGGACCAGGGCCTTTCTGAGTGGAGTTTGCATGTTCTCCCCGTGTCTGCGTAGGTTTCCTCCGTGGTACTCCGGTGTCCCCTACCACTAAAAATATGCCCAATACAGTGCCTTGCGAAAGTATTCGGTCCCCTTGAACCTTTCAACATTTTGCCACATTTCAGGCTTCAAACATAAAGATATAAAATTTTAATTTTTTATCATGAATCAACAACAAGTGGGACACAATCGTGAAGTGCCTCCTGTACTGGCCCCGCTCCCATCTCTGTGTGGAGTGAGAGGACAAATGCCCAAAATTAACAATTGTAAACCGCTTTGAGACTCAGATCTGCATGGATGGATGGATGGATACTGGATTACTTTGTGAGATTTCATAACACTTTTAAGCAACTTTTGTTAAAGTTAAACTCATCATTCTATCAATGTGCAGAAGCCAGTACTTTTCCCTTGTTTTGTCTATCTGAAGGCCAAGCTACAAGCACACCGTGGAAGCTGCTGATTGGAGGTCTCCATGCCTCCACTCTGTATAATACACTTGCATTCTGTGTTCGTGTTCGTGCTGTCTCTACCATTGACAATAAAACATGTCTTCTGTCTGAATGAAAGACGCGATCCCAGACTATGGCATCTTCTTCAGGTGGTGGAAGGATGCGGGCCTTGTCTGTAACATCTAGAGAACAGAAGACTTTTTTTTTTACACAAAAAGTGTTTTTTTTTAAGCCAAAACTGAGAAACCTCAAGAGAATGCATCTGGATCAGCACATGGACAATCTGCACAGCCCCTGATTCCAGTCAGGCTGTGAGCTGCTGAGACATGGACAATACCATCGTCCTCTTTTGCATGGACACCATTTGGAAAAATTGGATTACACAATTTGGACATCATTTGGAACAATCTGGATTTCTGAATTTGGACATAATTTGGACTGAATTGAATTGCTGAATCTGGACACTGAAGCTGAAACGTGTGATTGAAAGACACGTCACAGAAGAATTCATGGCTCGACACAAATGCAGCCTGAAGAAAACTAAAACGGAGAAGTGGGAGAGACTGTTTTCAAAGCAATATCTGGAACCATCGACTGATGAAGTTTGGTATTTTACTGAAGATTGTTGACAAGTTTTATGAAAGATCTGAACATGTTTTATGAGTTTTATGAGTTTTTGAAGTATTCCGAGTTCTGAGTTTTTTGAAGTACCGAGTGAAGTACTGAGTTGAAGTATTGAGTTATGATGTTATGTTGCTGTTTATCGATCCTGATGGTCACACGTGAATGTATGACCAGAGGGGGGAATGTGAGATTTCATAACACTTTTAAGCAACTTTTGTTAAAGTTAAACTCATCATTCTATCAATGTGCAGAAGCCAGTACTTTTCCCTTGTTTTGTCTATCTGAAGGCCAAGCTACAAGCACACCGTGGAAGCTGCTGATTGGAGGTCTCCATGCCTCCGCTCTGTATAATACACTTGCATTCTATTGTATCTGTGTTCGTGTTCGTGCTGTCTCTACCATTGACAATAAAACATGTCTTCTGTCTGAATGAAAGACGCGATCCCAGACTATGTCATCTTCTTCAACTTACTGCAGTCACTATGGTCACTATGGTCACTACGGTCACTACGGTCACTACAGTCACTATGGTCACTATGGTCACTATGGTCACTATGGTCACTATGGTCACTACGGTCACTACAGTCACTATGGTCACTACCGTAACTACGGTCACTACGGTCACTACAGTCACTATGGTCACTATGGTCACTATGGTCACTACGGTCACTACAGTCACTTCGGTCACTATGGTCACTACCGTCACTACGGTCACTACGGTCACTACAGTCACTATGGTCACTATGGTCACTATGGTCACTACGGTCACTACAGTCACTATGGTCACTACCGTAACTATGG